AACTCTTCGCCGTTTTCATCGCATTGACTGTCTCCAAATGTATAATGTCTAACATTGAAATCCCCATGCATATTGTGCCGTGATTCTGAAAGCTGGGCAGTGAATCAGTTTGAAACTTTCTATACCTTGCGTATACATTGCACAGAGAGAAAAACCCAGAGGCTGTTCGAATATGTAAATGCTGATATTGCACATTATTGTCATCAGACTTCTGCACTAGCTTATGCGGTATGGTGTCACTGACATAAGCAATAGGCCTGTCATTCCTGTGTTCGTGTAGGAGTGGTACCCTCTAATTCTAGGGGCGGATTTTATTTTTGTGGCTGATGTGAAGAGCCCTTGTAGACAGATAACGTTAACATTATTGTTATGAATGTAGTAGAGCAAGTCATTAATTCTACAGTTGACACCACATATATTCCATGAGAGAAACGTAATTATTTTCTTGTCCCCCATCATACCCTATGATTGGCTGATTGGTCAACTTTATGTTTGATGAGGTTCTTCAGTCTGCATATTTCATGTACAGCATTATATATCTGTGCTGCATCTTGTTTATTTACACCGATTTTGCGTGCTTTCCTCATATTGATATTGTACATATAGTCCATACCTGATATCATTTTCTGAGTGATGTCCCACAGTTCATCCGTTTCCTGCATATCTCCGTCGGTGTTGTTTTCACTGTTACTGTCATCACCGTTTTCAGATGATTCATCGATGGTATCTTGCGTAATAACATTATCAGAGCCCTCAATCATATTTTCGACATCACTAACATCATTAGAAAGCATATTTTCCCTGTCTACTACCTGATCCATAATCATTTTCCTCATTTCAACAAGCTCTTGCCTGATGCTTTCATTCCTATTTTCAACATGCCTAACATCATTAGAAAGCATATTTTCCATGTCTACTCCCCGGTCACTTTTTATTTCCATAATAATTTTTCTCATTTCAGCGAGTTCTTGCCTGAAGCTTCTTATTTCCTCAATCACTTCCTTGTTTTGTTCATCACTGGTCACTCCTGTGGCATTGCACTGGGTGGGGCATGGCTGGGGTGGGCATCCCAGGGCAGCAGGGGGTGGGGGGGGGGGTGCGCGTGGCGGTTGTGGGGGCAGATGCGGTGCCAGGCTGCTACGCCTTGCTCTCCGCACCTGACGCACCTCTTCACGATGCTGACGGTGTCTCCGTTGTCGTTGTCTTTTTCATTTTTACTTGCAGAACAGTCCTTCGTTCGGTGAGCCTCTGCACAAACAGCACAGGCTGTTTCTTCCCTGCAGTATTTTGCTAAGTGGCCATAAACCTGGCACTTGTAGCAAACCACAACATCTGAGCTCCACAGTCTAATGGAGCTCGACTCAATGTATCGTCCAAAGAAGTGGTACTCTTTGGGTGGCGGATGTTCTCCGCTCCATACAATAACAATCCTATTAAGGGGTTGTCTGTCCTTGTAGATTCTCCGAGCTTTAAAAACACCCGGAAGATGTAGTGCTTTTTCTGCGGCGGCCTCTTTCGGAAACCTGGTAACAGGTATTCCCCGATTTTTTGCTTCTTGGCCGATAGTCGTCCTTGTTCTGAAGAGTCCTGCAATAGTCCCATTTACCGTGAGGTCCGCGTATTTTTGTTGTTCTTGGCTTACATAGACGTAGTGAGAGGTTGTACATCTCACCTGCACCATCTGGCAGAACTCCCTCATCCACTAGATTTTGTCTATAGTGGATGTGTCCTCCGGAAAGGCCAGTCTAATGTACTTTTCACGGAGGGCGATGGGTTCACGTTTTTTTGTCTTTACTTCGGTTGCATCATCGGTGGTCATGTTGCTGGTGTGGTGTTGCGATGTGGTTTTCACTGTCTTCCTCCTGTTCTGAACGAGTTGGAATCCCTCGTCATTCACATCGGGCTCGACAGGCGAATCCACACCGTTCATTTCCCTATGTTCAGTGAGAACAATCCCCCCCAGAGGATGGGAAGATGAGGGGGTGGTAGATGGCAATACGGGGGCCCCGAGCACGTCCCCCTCCCCCTCCATGACGGGACAGCGAGGAGGTGGTTGTCCACTTCTACGGTGATTAATTCCCTGCGGTCGGGCGCGGGGAGGGTGCGAGCGCCAGGTCAAGTGCTGTCACACATACACTCACCAGGTCTCGTCAACGGTCGTCCGTACAGCACCCTGTTACCCTGGCAGTACACTCAGTATTCGTAACTTTTACTAAACACTGTTTTTTCGAGATGCCTTGACCATAGTATCTGACACAATTTGGTGAGTATACACCCACACACAACACACACAGTCTTGGTATAAGGACAACCCAGGTGAGGGGATTTATCCCCGTAAAATCGTCCAGAACACAGGAGGAATCCTGGTGACGTCCTGCCTTGGTGTTACTCGGTCTGTAGACTAGCAAGGGTGGCGGGGACGTCCGTAGAATTTTACTGGCCACTTTCCATCGTTTTTTGTGCGTCACGGAACAAAGTTTGGATCGGGTTTTCAAAAAATCGACTTTTTAACGTTTCATGAATTCTATTGACATCCAGTGCCATCCATTACCCCCCTCCCCCTTCAACCCCCGGTTTCTTACGCATCCCCCATGATCGTTGGGTAGAGGAAGTATATAAAAAAATCTGGGTTAATTTTCCAAAAATCTGATTTTAGAAATTGGAGGGAGCGTAGCTTTCGGTAACAATTGCACCCTTTTACTGATTCATTCATTACACTGTAGTTGGCAAGCATTGCTTAGCCACAATTGTTAATTCTTTGAAATACTGTCTTCTTTCAGACATCATTAGACTCCACTCAAGGAATATTACATACTACACAAGTATTGCCGGATGCCAGACTCGTGGTGTACCAGTTAGAAGAATGGGGAATTACACACATGTAATCTCCATGGACATGGGGGTAAAGATTTTGAGAATGAATTTATGCGTGCAAGAACCTTCACAAGTATACAAATAACGATGAAAAGAAGATATGATAATGTGTGGATTTAAGTGGATAAGCTGAAGTGCAAGTGCTGTTAAACAATAATATGGGAAATGTGGCGTTGGCCCAAGAAGGAATGTATGTTAAAATTTCACCTTCACAAAAAGTTTATGGAATTAATGAACTTGTAATAACCATTTATGTTAGTTGTAACAATCAACTGAATTCTTCTGGACTCATAATGAATCTAAAACTTTAAGCTTTTTTCTTGGGGTTCCAATAGAACTGATGGGTCTAATTTTAATGGATCACCTGAATTTTATACTACGGTATCGACAAGATTCATTATTCTAACCAACACGGGTATACAGAATGATTCGTGGCTGGAAATGGAGGGTAGATATGGCAAGGCGCAGTCATCAGTAGTAACCCTGCTTATTGAATGACCGAGAAGAAAAATGACCCAAATTTCAATAATTGAAATAGTATGATAATTGTGCGCTTCATTTTTGTTATGTTTATCTTTCTTTTCATAAGCATATTATTATCATCATCAGTACCATTACTTGTATGATCATTACTACTGGTGTCGATATTATGATAATGATTATTACTATTATTATTACTTCTGTTACTACTACTACAACTATTACTACTAGCAATATTGCCATTATCATTATTATCTTTTATTAATATTAATTGTATCTTATTATTATCAATGCTATCATCGTTATCATTATCTTAATTATAATTATCGTTATTATCGGTATCACCATCATTATCATTCTATTAATTATTATCCTTATCACTATCACCATCATTATCATCATTGTCATTGTCATCCTTACTATCATCATTATCATTATCGTCATTGTCATCCTTACTATCATCATCCTTATTTTTTCAATTACCATTAATATAAAATAATAACAGTACCGACTGACCCTGTATTACCTTTCGCCCCTGGAAGACCTGTTCTCCTGTCGGCCCCTGTTGCATATTTATTTTGTAACACATTAATTAGTATTCCGTTATGCGAAAAACAAAGGAAATTATTTGCAACACACTCACACACCCATACGCAGAAACACACACGCACACACACACACACACTCACACACATACATATATATATGCTTATATAAACACACACAAAACAAACACACACACAACAAACAAACACACACACAATAATAATAAAAATAATGATGAATAATGACTGACTCATATGGCCTCTGCTTTCTGGCGAACATGTCAATATGCGCTCATCCACAGTAGCAGCTGTGCTAGATCTGCAATACCTTCGGATGATAAACTTCTCCAGAATCAGTCTTCCACTGTGGAAGGGTAAATAACCAGTTTGGAGAATACTCATGCGAGACCTCTGGACATATGTCCCATATCTGCCAAACAGTTTTCTTCCCTTTGTTGCAGAAGGCTGACACGGCGTCACATCCTGTAAAGGCATGAAAGAATAGCATGCCTTTGACCTTCTCCTGGCCATCATAATGAAATACATTTATGAGGCTTAAGATTAATGCATTTCGAGCTATAAAGAAACCAAATTTTTGGGCGGACATCTTGGATTTTAGGGCCGCCATCTTTTTGCGTGGCCAGCGGTATTTTTTAAAACATTGGATTAGAAGAGTGTATATACCAAATTTCATGCTTGTATCAATATTGGAATGATTCTTCCTATATATATATTCCATAACCCAGGGTAACGGCCGCTACTTGCCTTCTTTCAAAAGAAGGCGCAGTCCTAGCCCTTGCGATGTAGTTCGTGATGTAAAACCGAATTATTATTTTTTATGATGATAATGATAATAATCATTATTATCATTGCGGTAAACATTACCATTATTATTGTTGCGGTAATCATTACCATTATTAATAAAATTGTTATTATTAGTTCTATCATTCTCATCGTTATCATTATGATCACCATCATCATCATTATCATTATAATCATCATTATCATTAGCATCACTAATATTGCCACTATTATAATCTTCTAAAGCTTCAACATCTATAATGAATATGCCACTGAATATTCAAACGCCACTTTACAGACCTTAACAAGTGTGATGTTTGTTCCATCGGGCTGTATAAGTGTAGTAATAAGTCCTGGGACTCCTGGTGCCCCAGAATGACCGCGGTCACCCTTCGTACCAACTGACCCTGTATCACCTTTCGTCCCTGGAAGACCTGGTTCTCCTGGCGGGCCCTGTTGCATATTTTTTTTGTAACACATTAATTAGTATTTCGTTATGCGAAAAACAAAGGAAAATATTTGCAACACACTCACACACCCATACGCACAATCACACACGCACACACACTCTCACGCTCACACACTTACATATAAATATGCTTATATAAACACACACACAACAAGCAAACACACACAACAAACAAACACACACACAACAAACAAACAAAAATACACACATACCAAACACACGCACACACACACGTGCGCATACATACACTCACGTACGCGCGTGCAAACGCGCACACACACACACACACACACACACGCACGCACGCATACAAACACGAACACACAAACACACACAAACAAGCACGCACATAATAACACACAGACACACACAAGCACACACACGTGCGCGCGCACACACAAACACGTACGCGTGCACACACACACACACACGTACGCGTGCGCACACACACGCACGTACGCACACTCAAACACAGACACACACTAAACGCAGATACACACACATATGTAAATATATACATTTGTATATATACATATGAACATATATATATATATATACATATATATATATATATATATATATATATATATATATATATATATGTGTGTGTGTGTGTGTGTGTGTGTGTGTGTGTGTGTGTGTGTGTGTATGTGTGTGCGTGTGTGTATAAGTATATATATATGCATGCAGGCTATGCAAAGACGTGTATATGAATATACATGTATATATATATATATATATATATATATATATATATATATATATATATATATATATATATATATGTATACACACACACACACAATATATATATATATATATATATATATATATATATATATATATATATATATATATATATATATGTATGTATGTATGTATATACACACACACATATATATATATATATATATATATATATATATATATATATATATATATATATATATATATTGATTGATTGATTGATTGATACTTCGATAGATAGACATATACATACACACAAATACTTGCCACGGATCCAGGAAAACCATCTTTACCAGGAGAGCCAGAAGGACCAATATTTCCTGGTAGTCCTCTGGGCCCTTTAGGTCCCTGATTGCCCTTAGGTCCTGGTGGCCCCATTAGCCTGGGATCAGCTTCTGTAAAAAACAGCTGTTGTGATTGTTTTGTTCTCTCTCTCTCTCTTATATACATATAAATATGTGTACACACACACACACACACGTGAGTGTGTGTGTGTGTTTGTGTCCTGGACAGGACGCTAAACTGCACCCAGGAATTCAAGGATAGTACCCTATGCTGCATTGGGAAACGAGAGAGTATCTTAAGCAGATGGATGGGATCTACTACTTGGACTGGTGTCTGTGTATCTCTTTGGGGTATGATTGTGTGAGTTCTCTCTGGTGTGGATGGGTGTTTAGGTGAAGTAGAGATTAATGGCTAAGGACTGGGCAGCCCTTGTGCTGTTGTCGTGGTCTACTGGAGGATCAGGGAATGCTGATCTCAGTAAACAACAAAGTAGAGATGAATAATAGAGTGGGGGAGACTTGGAAAATCTGTTGCCAGAATTCCCTGCAGTGATTCCATCGAATCAACCTTCTGTCTGTGTGCATCGTACAGGTATGTGGCTCCAAAATGTCTCGGGGTCTCTCGTGTTTAGTCTCTGTGCTAGTGATAGTGTCTATTCATTACTTTAATTTCGTCTGTTATTTGCGTTTGGAGTGCATTGTATTGTGTGCGTAATTATGCGTTCCAGCTCCTTGTTCCTGATGGTTCATATAAGTGCCTGTATTGTAATTTAAGCAATTTCAAACAATGTGTTTCTATGTAGTGGGGGATAGGTTTGTAGGCTGGGTAATTGTTACCGAGAGCGTCGCTACCTCTAGTGACTAAGTTCCAAAATCAGATTTTTTTATACATTTTCTCTACTCAACGATCTTGGGGGATGCGTGGGGAACCGGGGGTTGAAGGGGGGGTGGGGTAATGGATGGCAATTAATGTCAACAGGAGCCTGCAGAAATCGAAGAAAGTGATCTATGAAACGTTATAAAGTCGGACGTCCCCGCCATCGTTGAAAGTCTACGGAAGCTATACAGGAATCAAACCCATCGTTCGGTAAAAATCTACGAGATTTCACATAATCCAGATCCCCTGTGGTAATCGCACAATGCGTCCTAACGAATAGACCAACCTAACCTTAACCCTGTGGGATTTATACACTACGATCTTTATATTCCCGTGGTATTATATACGCCTAGACAGGGGCTACGCCCCCTGGACCCCCGTAGTAATATATACGCCTGGACCCCCAGGGCAAAACTGCATACCTTTAAATAGCGAAACACCGAACTTTTCTTTGCTACCGGCTATGATCAGAATTACTTGGTTTCTTGATAGACTTAAATATCAGGCTGAGATAGATACTGTCTATCTGTTCTGCATATCCACTATATGGCTTTATAACTGACCCGGAATCGACGCAACACAATTTAAATGAAAGATTTCTCACCGGCGTTTCTCAACGAATGGTGTTTCTCGGATTGTTAAATCTCTCGGTGGAAAAAAGTGCATGCGCACAAGGTTTTTGTACAGAATAGCCCGGCAGGCCTCACCCCCCAAACATGTGCTTAATGCTACCGAGTGCATTAAGCGCATGTCCATTAAGAGCAAAATGGACGCTGCCATCTTGTAGAGCATGAAAAATAGAGTAGCAATCAATACAGGTAAATCTGCAGCAGCTTCATATTTTTCGGTAAATGACAAAAATAGGATTTGCATGGCACCGCTCTCACCGCTGTGAAACTAAAGCCGTCTTTGGTAGAGTACAAACTCCAACGAGTTGGACTTAGGCTGATGACGTCATTAATCCTCATAGATGCTGACTGGCTGGTAAATGCATGCTGATTGGCGAACTAAGCACAATCAGTTTCTAGGGGGCTACCGCTCTCCGAGAGTTTTTTTTTTTTTTTTTTTTTTTTGAAAAATGACTATTCTAGGTGCATTTTAAAGCTACGATCAGAGCTCCTCCTCCCCCCCCCCCCCGCCCAAAAGTAAAAATACGCCCCTGCTCTCTCTCTCACTCCCTTCTTCTCTCATTCTCTTTCTCTTTTTCTTCACACATCCACCCACC